AATGGACAGACAGTGCAATACGTGTAATTGCGCAAGTGTAATAGGTATGAGAGAGCCGAAGATGATATTACGCTTATGATCATGGCATTACTGATGCCATGATATTGTTTCTTCACTTTAAGATAAGACCTATGCCAATGAGCTGATCCTTTTTCATGTAGGACCGGCCGCGGTCGGCCAAAGGCATGGCTTGTGATATCTGTCGAACATCAAACATCCGCTCTGTCGGGATCCTCGCACCCAATGGACGTATAATATATATATAATATATATATATAGATATATATATATAATATCGAGACGCGGGATCTCGCACGCCCGCACTCGCCCCGCTCCCACCCGCCCGGCCCTCGCTTCCCACGCCCGGTGCCCCAGCCCCGCCACGGAGTCACGTGGCCAGACCTATCACCACCTCGCGTCACGAAGGGCTGCGCCCCAGGATCGTCATGTCCGGTCGAGTAACCCGAGCCGGCGGCCTGAGCCGGCCCGAACCGGAGCGACCGAACCGGCCCGCCGTCCGCCCCCAGCATCCAACAAGGGAGCGCAATTCTAACACAGGGCAGTTGCATGCAGGGCACTTACGCAGACCCCTACAGACACAGTTTGGTTGCACTGCAACAGTCAAAACGACCATCAAAGTACATAGTTGCATTCGCCATGCACAGGGATATGTTGTTTAATAATTCTGGGAATTCTCCTTTGCATTGGCGCGTGCGTGTGGTATTAAATTTCCCCTAATGCCTTTTGGTCCTCGAAATGTATGTTTGGGGGGACTCCGTGGGCAAAATGTGTTACGAACGCACGAGTGAATCAATTTTTTCGAATGAAATTAACGACTGGAAATTGAAAAAGCTGTTTCCCCACATCAAGATGCGTTGCCTGGGAAGCAGTGAAGGCAACACCGTCAGACAGCCATCAGACCAATGCCGGGTCAAGGCTGGTCATCGGTCCGTGCACTATTCCGGAGAAAGACGGTCGGGTCGGTGACCTTGACCCGGGTGGTCACGAGTGAGGGCACTCCGGGCAACGATATGCGATAGGGAGCGGCCGAGTGGCGGGCGCGCGGGTCGGGCATGGACGGCCGGCAGTCCTGTGCTGATTGCCCATTTTCAACTGAACTGAGTCGTTCTCCTTGGTGACTTCTCGGGCAAGATATGAAGCTGTCGGAGGACTCAGTGTACACGGACGCAGACGGATAGAGCCTGGTCTCAAGTGGCAGGGAGACTTCCAGAAGGGATCGCCAACTTTCGGTTCCAGAAATGGTCCAGTTTCTCGGAGGTAAGACAACCAGCGTTTAAAGAGACGTATATACAAAAGCCAGTCTCGGTCTCCACCTGAGGCGGTGACGATGGGCAGGACACTGGAGTGCTGGAGCAGAGCATGTAATCGAAGCCGGCAACGCGATAGTATCTCGTGAATCAGGGCCAAGAGAGCTTCGTTCGAGAGACGCGTTGACCTCTTAGAACACGGCGTTTTCGAAGAAAATTCTGTCTTTCCACAGCGCTCAAAACAATCAAAAACGAGAACTATGTCATGAAAGAGCAGATCTGGGCTATCGATATTAATCGGAGGCAGGTTTTGTTGATACCAAAGATGGCCGAATTCGGTCCGAGAGGGCGGATGGGAGATATTGAAGGAAGGGCTACTCATTTTCTCAGGAAGCATTTCCCCACCTCAACGTGACCAGCCAAAATACCAAATCGCCCATCGCTCGCAAAGTGAAAAGCTGGCGATCTGCAAATGTTTTTAAGAACAGCCTCCGTGACGAAATTTACGAAAGAAGATTTGAGCGAAACGGGTCTGCCGTCCAAAGCCATCTGATTATCTATGGGTCGCTGACGAACACGAAACGGGAAGTCATGAATGCATTGCTTGTCACCAAGAAACAGAAAATATATGCGACTTTCAGAAAACATGGTCATATATTTCAAACTGCATTAGGACTCCCAAAAGCGACGCGTAAAGAGCATGTAAGAGCTGCAGCGCGCCTTGGGTGGTGTCCGCGGCGAGGTTCACATCCCCGGCCCCGGCTGGCCCGGCCGAGTACGACACTTTTCAAGCGGCCCGCGTTCGGCCGTGGAAGAGGCGGCTCGAGAGGCAGTGTCCTAGAATTTCCGACATTGGGTGTGCAGCAACACCCCAAGAGTAGCAATTTTTCACTCCTCCTCCCCATATTTTACGTGAATTTTTCACTCTCACCTTATATTGCTCAACCACACATACCAAACCCATATTTCCCTTTGGGGTTTCAAGATGTTATCCAAACCGAGCTCACTTGAAACCGTCAAGCATAAACAAGGCTCCACAGAACCTGGACACGCAGGGCTATATCCTGCGTCACCTACATCCGAATCATGTCTATGTATGCACAGAACAAGGGCACCAGGTTCTTTACGCCCGAGAGGCCCAGCACTCCAGCCGCTTGCATGCATCAAGTTTGGCTTGTTTATAGCGGCATCACAATCCACGGCTGTGTGTCAAATGCAAGGTTTTCACGAACCCCCAATATTTTGGGTCTCACCACGCAAACACCGCACCAGCAAAGCAAAACCTGCTACAAACACCATCAAAGCCCGGTAGAGACTTTTAGTCTACGTATTTCTTCTACCTGAAGAGGCTGGCCACTAGATTACCATACGCTCAAAATGTAGGAGTGAAAAATTCGAAAAATGTCTTTTAAATGAAATCTAAAAGACGAATATCACCATTTCAGTGCTCATTTTCACAGATTTTTAGTGAAACTAGCTGAGTACAAAATTTGATTGAACAACTCCTAAGGCTTCATATTTATCTAATTACTTTTGTTTTTCCTTGGTCCCATGCGAATGCTATAAAACTTCAACTTGTCTTCCTTTCCATTATCTTTAAAGATACCATCTATGCATGGCTTGAAATGTTGACCAATCTCTCTGCAAAGTGTTCCCAACTGCAAAATTGCACGTATTTCATACATAAATTGGATTAATTCGTCAGCCGCCCAAACATGTTTGATATGCACCCAAACGTGGGCCATTCACACCTAATAAAGGAGACAATTTGAACCGCGGAACTTAATTTTGCTGTAATTTCCATTTTTACCTAGTTAAACCCACACTTGGCCTTTTTGTTTAGAGTAGGTCAATGGTGACAAATGTAAGCAATTGCAGTTTCACTTCCTCGCCATGTTATGTTATCCTGCCTACACAACTTCCGGACAGACCTGGCGCAGCCAATACAAACGTGTTTGATAGCCAAAGTCTGCCCTTCGGAACTGTTTTCTCATGCAGACCTCATCTTACTTATTTCGCATGTTTATCTTGTAGGTTGGTGGGCATGACTGATACTTGTTGTGTGGGCGGGTTGGATTACCTTGTCTGTCACCAAACCATTCGAAAGATGTTGACTTCTTGTGTGGGACAGCCGAAAGTAGCCTGCCGTTAAAAAGCGAGTAAGTTTCTCTTGTGGAACACCTAATTGCTAACCTTACCTGTTTTCAACATATGATTTGTAATCAGATGTGGCCATTTTCTGTTGTAATCCATCCAATTTTGTTCATAAGACAATGTCCGTAGTTGTCATAGTTTGATTACTGGCAAATGACTGTAGTGTAGATATGCACTATATTTCTGCGTAAGGTAGATAATACACGAGTACTCTAAGGTGCATAACAATCACAATCTTAGTTAGATATCAGTTTTCAGCCACAGTCAGACAATCCCT